GGATTAGTTACAACAATGTTAGGAAGGGGGGAAAGGCAAAGGAATGAGAAGGCTTCTGAGTTGCAGCTGCTGCTTTGGCCATGTTCATGCAGTTGGCCCAAGCAGGGCAATGGAGAACTGAGGAACTCCCTGCTGCAGGTCAGATTAGCTTGAAGGCAGGGAGTTCCAGGTTCGGCCTCAATACCAGTACTAATAATGTAATAAAATAATTGCAATGCGATCACAATGTAAAAAAGGATGCGATAATAATGTAATAATAATAGTATGATAATAATGTAATTAAATCAAATAATGTAATGAAATACTAATAATGTGAAAATAATATAAAATAATAACAATAATCATGTGTTAATAATGTAATAAAATATAATAATGTAATAAAGTAATAGTAATGTGACTATAACATAATAAAAACAGTAATAACAATATGGTAATGTAATAAAATAATAATAGCAATAATGTCATGTGAATATAATAATAATAGCCCAATTTTCAGAGACACTTGAACCTAATGTGCATGCGTGCTGTGTTGTTATGCACATGTAAATAATAATAATAATAATAATAATAATAATGTGTGGTGCAATACAAAAGTCTCCAGAGTGATCTTGTTTGCTGTGGACTTGGCCACAGTAGTCCACGCTCATTACATCTAGGATAGACTACTGCAATGCGCTCAACATGGGTGTTGGGGTTCAGCCTGCTCTGTGTGAACCTGATTCTCTGATTGTATTTCCAACTGAGCCAGCCACTGAACATGTATCTCTCCCTGGCAGTGTTGAAACTGTTGTTGATGCAGAGCTCAGTGGCGAGGAAAGTGAAACTGAACAGCCGGATGAAAATGTTTTGGAATCCAGCCGTGACAGCTCTCCACCTGGGTTTTTTAATGAGGACCGAAGGGAACAGATAGCTAGAGACAGAAGTGATTCACAGTTTCTACGAAGGTCAAATAGATTACAGGAGAGACAGGCCCAGGCTTCAAAGTCAAGGGGCGTTTCAAGGAATAGTTTCTTTGGTTTAAGGGGCCTCCTTCCGGGTGTCTCGTTTTGGACTGCGGCAGAATTCCTGTGTTCCATGGCCGGTAATCCCAGAGGCTTCTAGTTTTCAAGTACATGGTTAGTGAGATGCTAACAGGTTCCTGGTTTTTGTATTCTGGTTTTTGGAATTTTGCTCAAGATTTGAGATTTTCCTGACTGCTGTATTTCCATGGTGGCTTTTTGACTTTGCATTTGGCTTTCTTTTGTAACCAATTTTTCATCAATAAAAAAGGATTGTTTTTTCTGCAGTCCAGTGTGGTGGATTTAATCTTATGGTCTCGTTTTCTGATCTGGGATGCAACAATGGGGTTGCCTTTGAAGACTGTTTGGAAGCTTCAAATAGTCCAAGGAGAGGCAGCCAGGTTAATAACTGGGGCGGCATACAGGGAGCATACAACTCCCATGTTATGCCAGCTCCACTGGCTACCAGTTTGCTACTGGGCACAATTCAAAGTGCTGGCTTTGGCCTATCAAGCCCTCAACGGTCCTGACCCAAATTACTTGTCCGAACGCATCTATGAACCATCATGGAGATTAAGATCCTCCGGGTAGGCCCTGCTTTCTGTCTCGCCATTCTCACAGGCGCAATTGGTGGGGACAAGAGACAGGGCCTTCTTGGTGATTGCTCCCTGGTTATGGAACTCCCTTCCTGGTGAGATCAGGTTGGCCCCCTC